GGGACATAGTCAAACGTGTCTAGCTTTTATTTTGACATAGGCACTGAAGGACATTTTCTTTTGTCAGCCTTTGCTACTGGTTGTAAGGCCTCCTTTGAGACAAATGTCATGAAGAGAACTTCGTGGTTAAACAACTGCTGGATGAAAAGCTCAGAAATGCCAGTTTGAAATGACTTAACATTATGAACAGCTTACACAATTTCTTATCTTTTTATTATACCTACTAAATCATGATGAGGTGGGGCAGAGCAAGAAGAATTTCAAAACAACTACTTTTTAGTTTTATTTTCCCAGTGAGGTTTCTCTGAGCTCTTCATTAGACACAATGTGTGTCAGCTACTCAACTCACAAAAGAAAGAAAAACATGCCAGGAAAGGAGAAATATTTTCTGTCTCTTCCTCTGAAAACTTCAGATGAGCTCATCTGTGTTCTCTCCTTTCAACGAAAGATACACTCACCCCTTAACCCCCCTCTTCTCATTTTCCATTGATGATGTCAAACAGTCCCTATAGAATCTCTTTTCTGATCTCATAAAAATCAGTGACAACCAGAAACATTCCCCTTTGACTATGACTTCATCGATTGTCTCCTCCTGGAGAGGCTCTAATCTCCATTGGTAAGTGGAGCTCAACTCCACTGATCCAGACTGAAACAATTTACCATGAAACTACTGCTTTCCTCCAAAACACTGCCTATGTGATTTAGGTTGAGAAGGTGTCTTAGTAACTGGCTCAGTGTGGAATCTTACTGGCCAAGATGATGTTCCAAGCTCTCTGTTTGTACCTGTACAAATAAAAACTCCTCTTTACCCAACCCTGTTATATCTGTACAGTAAGTAAGTGATATTCAAAATGTGAGCTCTGTGACATCTCAGTGACCGTCTTATTGCCCGTTTGGAGTCCTCCCTCCCATCGTAAACTACTTTTCACCACACTGAAAGCCATGAAGTGGGCATCCAGTTGTAAACACATTTAGAAGACTGAAACTGTGTGCCATGGGTGCACATGGCTGAAATTTCTGGGCTGTCTCAAGAAGGAGGTTTATGAAACACTGGCTATCTCCATTCTGAAAAGAATCTGAAAAATACTGTCAAATCTGAGACTTAGAAGATAAAATTAACATATAATTGATGGGCTTCGAGAGAAGGAAAAGACACTAAGCCCAATATTTTGAGGCCCAAACAGGGCAGAACAGGAAGGCTTGGAGGGATTAGTATGTCTGAAATTAAATCATGTCTTTATGCTATGGAAAAGTTGTGTAGGCCTAGAGAGATGGCTCAGTCCATGCCACAAGCATGAAGATCCGAATTTGGATCCCTAGCACCCACCTGAGAGGCATGGCTGGGTGAAAGGCAGTGCTGGGGAGATGGAGACGGGCAGACCCCTGCAACTCGATTGGCCAAGCCAGCCCGCCTGGTTGAACTGATGAGCTCTAGGTTCAGTTAGTGACCCCGTTTCAGAGCATAAGGTGGAGGGTAATTGAGGAGGACACTTAACATGGACTTTTGGTCTCCATACATGTACATGTACACACACATACACACACACACACACACACACACGCATGCACGCACGCACCCACAAAGAAGTTGTTCATAGAGTAATCAAGAGAACTAAAGTTATCAGAGAAGCAAAATTTGTAGCACACTGAATCTAGGGGATGGGAAAATTCAGAAGCTGTGGGTAAGTGAGTGTTAACTCAGCCTCTCTTCCTGTGATCCATGTGAAATGCCTCTTACCACAAGCTACCTTCCTTGCTCTGAGTTCAGGTACTTAATTAAGCACTTGCCCAGTTGCTACAAGGATGTTGAGAGAAAGAGGCCCCAAAGAGGGCTGCTGCATATCGTAGCCTCTGAAAAAGGGTCTCCCACTGCTGTAAAAACTAGTTTTATATATTATCCTTAAAATGCCATCTAACATATAGTACATACTTGCTATGTGCTGAGTAAGATTTTTTCTAAGCATTTTATACAAATCAGTTCATTTAATTTCCACAAGTTCCAGCGAATTAAATTGCATAGGGTTCTTAGGGAGAGGCTGGGCATAATTCAAACCTCCGCTCCAAGGCTGTCTGGATGTGGTTAATACAGGGACAGCGACAGTACCAAAGTCTACTTTTTAAATGAAATTATTGGGACACTTGGGTATCTTGAGCCTCAATTTTTTTCTCCTCTTTGGCCTACATTTACACTGAAGTCCAGACAAAAAGTCTGTAATTTCCTTAAGTGTACAGAGTGTTAAGATTTATGGCAAGGATTTTATTGCATGTGAACTAAGCCCACACTTGAAACACATCAGTGTTGAAGACTTAGGGTGAAAATCACATGGATGCAAAGTTGCACACTGATGCTTTTCAACCCTGGAGCTGTTTTCAGGACATTTCATTCTAGAGCTAGAGAAAGGAAGCTAACATTTATTGAGTGTGAACAACGTTGCTGGCACTGGTGTAAACTCTTTTTCAAGCCTATAATATTCTTTAACCTCAGACCACTCTGCAGATACTATTACTCCCATTGATATCTGAGACTCAATGAAGCTGTACACCCTGTTCAAGATCATGTAGCTAATATGCAGTATAGTTGATAATCAAATTCAGGAGTGCTCAGTATTCATTCCTCCTTCAAATCTAGGTTATGTTCAGGCCATATAATTTATTTTGCTTAACAGGATCATTGTTTTGTTTTGCGACAGTGTCTCATAACCCCACTAGCCTGGAACTTGCTAAGTAGTCTAGGCTGGTCTTGAACTTATCATCCCTCTGCTTCAGTCTCTCCAGTAGTGGAATCTTATGTGTGAGTCAACTATACTGGGCTTGAGCAGAACCCTAGTGATTTTTCAATTTTCCATTATGTTCTAGTTTGTACATTCACTAATTTGTAAGCATTAATGAATCCCATACTTTAGTTTTATTAATTAATGTATGATTCACAACATAGGCAGAGAATTTGCCACAAATAGTAAGTGGTGAGTCAATGCTGTGAATGCAAACACTGCACAGATGTATAGATGATAATCCCAGATAAAGATGCAAATACAGGGGCTGGAGAGATGGCTCAGCAGTTAAGAGTACTGGCTGCTCTTGCAGAGGACCCAGGTTTGATTCCCAGCACCCACGTGGCAGCTAACAACTTCTTCTAACTCCAGTTCTAGGGACTCCAAGGAGAGCAAATGCCCTCTTCTGGTCTCCATGGGCACTGCATGACACGGGTGCACTTAAATACATTCATATAAAACCTCACACATAAAATAAAAATAAATACAAATTTAAAAGATGCAAATACAACATTAAGGCAACACCCACATCTGTAGCCTTCTACTTTTAGAGGAGCTGACTGACAAATTTGCCAGCAGACCTGAATGAACCCAGCAGCAGAAGGACAGGGAAGTGGCCCCCTAAGCCCTGGGTGTGGTATCGGTGAGCTTCCTTCATCAGTCAGCCCCTTTCTCCTCCTTCCCTCCTCTTTATTCACTGTTTCTCTTCACTGGCTTTGAACCTGTTTGTTGGCAGCTTCCAACAGCTCCTCTTTAAAGAGCCAAAGACAAGCCTGATGTTACAATTGCCTTGCTTAATTCCAAAGGGTATTTAGTGTGTGGCAGAGTTGAACTGTATCTGGATCAACATAAAGAAGAGAGTGAATCCACCATTGACCAGCAACTGGAGGGGTGTCAGCAGTGCCCATGCTAGGTGGGCTGGAGCTACACAGCAGAAGAGATTTTAAAAGCTTGTTGCTGAGCATCTGGACTCTGTGTAAGAGACAAGAATGAGATGGAAAAGTTCAGGGAGAAACAAATGTGTACACACACACACACACACACACACACACACACACACCATCAGTCTTAATCCACCCCAGGGCTTCTCTGCCTGTATTCATCATTATCAGCTTTCATCTTCCATGAAAAGCTGCCTGCTAAAGGTCCCTTCGCAGTTCAGCCTTAGGTCATAAGGGCAGAAAGCACTGCTGCAAAAACATACGTAAGGGAGTAGCAGTGTGACTAGAGTACAGAATGATAGCATAATCCCCCATGGACTGGTGAGGTCAGTGTGGGTGATGCTGGCTTTCCTAGTATCTACTGAATCATCTGGTGGGAGCAGCAATTGGAAAGAATACATACAAACACACACAACAAGTGCCACAAAGACAGATCCATTTTGATTGGATCAGTGATGCAGTGGAGGGAACTGTGAACTGGGTATTAGGAGACCTTTGGTACCTTCTTGTACCCCTCATTAGCTGGGACCCTGTATGACTTGAGGCTGCATGACCTCTAAGAAATGAAGCATCAGTCAAGTTGGTATTTAAGGTCTCTTATGGCTTCAAAGGAAAATAAAGTTTACTTGTCCTAAGTAGTTTTATGAAAGTACATTGCTGCTAGACCACATTCTTGGAAGACACTGTACCACGTAGCAGTGTGTTTTAAATCACCATGTGCAACATGTTTTGTTTAACATATATGGATATAGGAAAAATATTGGCAGGTGCATTTGAACCAGAGTTTGAAATAAAAGAGGCTTGGAGAGAAGTTCTGGGGACACTTGGACTCTAAGCCATGGCTATAGAATTCTAGTTACCCATAGGTCTTAAAGTCTCTCTTTGGCTTTTTGGCTATAGGGGGAACAAGGAGAGATGAGATAACCCCTAAAGAATATTCAGTGATCAGAGCTCACAGTTCATGTCCCTCAGTACACCACTTACTTCTACATACGACCTTTGCTCACATTCTTTCTGCTCTAAATATTCCCCCCATTTCTACTTACAAAAATCCTATTCACTCCAACTCTAAGACACCCCAGCATGAATAAACTATCTTTGCCTATTAGTTATAAAACATTTTATTCTATCTCATACTGTACTTCGTTGCTATTATGATTACTGATTACAAACCCTGAGGGTGGGATTGGGGTCACATTTTTCTATGCATCCCATGTCTGCTTGACAAACCATAGGCATTTATTTATAAGGATTTCTGGATGGAGCTGGACAGGGGTTTTCAGGTTACCTGCTAAGGTGACAGCAATGGAGACAGAGTCATATCCCAAGGCATTTGTGGCATTGCAAGTATAGAAACCCACATCAGCTTCCACTGGAGCCAAGATCTGTAAGGAATCATCTGGCTGTAGAAGAATCCTGGAGCAACAGAAAAGAAATGTAGACCTGGTCAAGTCAGCTGACTCTTATTTGGCATTCAATATTGGAAGGCATCTAGGGATATATTTAGGACTGTGAAAGACCAGCTAGGATATGCAGGAACCCAGGCTCTCTCTTGTGTGCTCTCTCTCTCTCTCTCTCTCTCTCTCTCTCTCTCTCTCATGTATGAATGTTTTGCTTGCATGTATGTTAAGTGCATCATGTGCATGAAATGCACATGATGTAGAGGCCAGAAGAGGATGCCAGCTGCCCCGGAATTGAAGTTACAGACAGTTGTTATCCACCATGTGTGTGCTGGGAACTGAGCTCTGATCTTCTGCAAGAGCAGCCAGTGCTCTTGGCTGCTGAGCCAACCTGAAGTCTCTCTTGTCACTTTGATTGCCATGATTCTGACTGTAATCTAGAAAAAAGTTTCTGATTACTTTTAAGCTTACTGATGACATGACCTAATGCTACTAGTTGGAATAGACAATGGATGCACACAGAATACACAGCATGAGACAGGATGCTAAAACAAGTGGCCACATAGATTTGGAAAGGCTTATTAAAAATGAAAAGCTTTAATCTACAAAAATTTATAGCCTTTTTATATACCAATAACAAGCAACTGGAGAAAGAGTATGGAAACTCTTTCATTCACAATAGCATCAAAAATAAAATAAAATAAAATATCTCAGAAGAAACCTGACCAAAGACATTAAAGACCTCTACAATGAGAATGTTAAATCTTTAAAGAAAGAGACTGAGGACGACACCAGAAGATGGAAGGACCTCTCATGCTCATGGATTGGAAGAATTAATGTTGTGAAAATGACCATCCTACCAAAAACCACTTATAGATTCAATGCAATGTCAATTAGAATCCCCATGACATACTTCACAGAACTGGAAAAAAAGTTCTAAAATTCATATGGAAGCAGAAAAGACCCCGGATAGCCAAAGCAACCCTGAGCACAAAGAGCAATGCTGGGGGATTAACATACCAGATCTCAAAGTATACCACAGAGCTATAGTCATAAAAACAGAATGATACTGGCACAAAAATAGACACATAGATCAATGGAACATCATTGAAGACCCAAACCTGAGTACACACAATTTCAGCCACCTGATATTTGACAAAGGTGCCAAGAACACAGAATGGAGGAAAGACAGCATCTTCACCAAATGGTGCTGGAAAAACTGGATCTCCATCTGCAAAAGAAGGAAACTAGACCCTTATCTTTTACCTTGCATGAAAGTCAACTTTAAATGGATCTAAGACCTCAATGTAAAAACCAGAAACTCTAAAACTGTTAGAAGAAAACATTGGCAGTAACCTAGAAGATATAGGTGTAGGAAAGGACTTTCTAAATCTGACATCAGTTGCTTAGGAATTAAGGTCAACAATCAACAAGTGGGACCTAATTAAACTAAAAGGCTTCTGTACAGCAAAAGAAATAACCAAGGACATGAAAAGGAAACCCACAGAATGGGAGAAAATCTTTACCAGCAACACATCTGACAGAGGTTTAACATCCAGAATATTTAAAGAACTCAACAAAACAAACAAACAAAAACCAAAGAATCAAGAAAACGAATGACCCAATTAAAAGATGGGCTAAAGATCTGAATAGAGAGTTCTCAAAAGAAGAAACAAATATGGCTAAGAAACATTTTAAAAAGTGTTCAATGTCAGTAATTAGGGAAATGCAAATTAAAACCACCTTATGATTTTATCTTATCCCAGTAAGACTGGCTAAGACCAAGAGAACAGATGATAACAAATGCTGGAGAGAATGTGGGGAAAGGGGAACTTAGTCACTACTGGTGGGACTGCAAACTTGTGCAACCACTATGGAAGGCAGTGTGGAGAACACTTAAAGAACTAAAAATTACTCAACCATATGACCTGGTTATACCACTCCTTGGCATATACTACCAAAGGATCCATCCTACTGCTAAGATACTTGCACATCCATGTTTGTTGCTGCTCTTTTCACAAAGAGATGGAAGCAACTCGGCATGATGCATGTTCTCCCTCATGTGTGGATCCTAGCACCAGATCCTTATATGTGAGTATATATCCTGATGTAACTGCAGGAACCTGGAGAATGAAAGGAGCCAGGGAGGTAAATGGAAAGAAGGAACCCAAGAGAGAAGAACAGTAGGAGATAGGTGTTACTAAGGGAGAAATGGGTAAAACGGGGGTAGTTAAATGGGAGGGGGAGAGGGAGGGTGAAACCAGGAACTATGGGGCTAAATGGAAAGAAGACGCTCAAGAGAGGTGGGACTATGGGAGACCATAGGTATTATCAATGGAGAAATGGGGAAAATGGGGATACTTTAAATGGGGAGGTCATGGAGGGAGGGCTAGACAGGGAGGGAGGGAGGGAGAGAGGGAGAGGGAGGGAGAGAGGGAGAGGGAGGGAGAGACAGAGAGAGAGAGAGAGAGAGAGAGAGAGAGAGGAGATAAACAATGCCTAGTGAGTGTAAAATACCAGAGAGAATTCTATTAGTCTGAAAACCTACTGAAAAAATGACACACACACACACTGTGCTGGATAGCTTTAGTGTCAACTTGACACCCCTGGGCTGAGGGAGCCTCAATTGGGGAATTTCCTTCATTGGACTGGCCTGTGGCCATGTCTATGAGGCATCTTCTTGATTGTTGAGCCAGATGGGAGGACCCAGTGCATTGTGGGTGGTGCCACCCCTGGGAAGGTGGGCCAGTGTTGCATAAGCAGGGGCCAGGGGAGCAAGCCAGTAAGCAGCATTCCTCCATGGCCTGTGCTCCAGCTCCTGCCTCCAGGTTCCTGCCCCGAGTTTCTACCTTGGGCTCCCAGATGAACTGTGACCTGGAATATGTAAGCTAAATAAACCCTTTCCTCCCCAAGTTGGTAGTGGTAAGAGTAGTTTGTCACAGCAATGAAGAAACAAACTAAGACACATACTGTCTCCACATGAATCCATGTGTATAGCTAAAGGCTACATAACAAAAAACAGTGCCAGACAGGAGAAACCTTCCTTCGAGTTGTTGGTCAGGGCTGTCCAAGAGACAGGCTATTGCCAAAGCCCTTGATTGCCTCTTAGAACTTGAAGGTAAGACCCTATTGCTGAAGACAGGACATACTTTGGGCACAGGATTTGGAGCAATGGAGCTGGAACTGACCTAGGAGCCACCTCCCCTCTCACAGCTTTGGAGAGCACTATGCAAGCTCCTAAGGGATAACATCAATCAAAGCTGGTCCAACCCCAGCTTTAAGGCCTAATAACCACATCAATTACTGGCACAGCAAACGACATTGGTACAGTAGTAGCACTTTTATCTTGGGGGTAATCAACAGCTACCTAATTGGACTTAAAACCCACTCAATGGGAGGGAACTCATGTGTGGTACTGTAAACATAACCAAATACACATAGCTGGAGAGGTCATATAAATCTTTGAGAAAACTCAAGACTTTCTTTTCACATCCCTAGACAAATGTAATTTCTTACTATGTGCAAAATATGGATCCTTATATTTACAGATAAACACCCCAATCACCATTCATCAAAGAAGCTTCTTTTGTGACAGACAGATTATTACAGTGTTCCACAACGGGTCACACACAAGACATGTCTGTGAGTTGCTCAAGCCTAAGTGGCACATCTACAATGCAACCTCTACACCTAAGGCTCAGGGAACATAGAACAAGAGTTAAAGAGGACACTAATGCCTCTCTCGATTCTCATCAATGAAGCTCCCTCATGCAAGGGTCAAGAACACAGAAGGTCACAAATGGCCAAAGTGTAGAGAATAAGAGTCTGCAGAGGGTGGGTCCTTGGACAGGACTCCTATATTCAACTCCACCCTTCTGGGGCTCAGGGACCATCACAGAAGAAGGAGCAGAAAGACTGTAAGAACTAGAGGTGGTGGATGACCACAAAGAAACCAAGTTTTCCAGGCTTCTGGGAACTTGCTCATATGAACTTACAGCAATGGTAACAGCAGGCACAAGACCCATATGAACTTTCCCTTTCTAGATTTATATAATTTCTAAGAACTACATGCTATACCATGGCAAATTAATGATGGCACCTTTTAATAAATTATTATTTTTAATTTATGTGTATGAGTGTATTGCCTGCATGTAGGTAAGTGCACCTGTGTTGTGAAATGCCTGCAGAGGTCAGAAGATGGTGTCAGATCCCCTGGAGATGGAGTTATGGATGGTTTTGTTAACTGCCATATAGGTGCTTGGAACTGAACCCAGATCCTCTGCAAGAGCATCCAGTGCTCTTAAACGCTGAGCCATCTTTCCAGCCCTGACCTGATGATGATGGTGTCTTAAAGTAGATGTTTTGATGATTCAGTGAGGCTGACCAAAACTAGAAAGTGTATGTGGAGGCAGGAACCTAGAAGCGTTGGAGAGAACAGGGTGGAACTTCAGATATATAGTACATGGAGCAGGCAAGATCTTAGGTGGATAAATCATTCACAGCACAGAAAGGGAGTTGAGGAAACTCTGAGCCAGTAATTCCTACCTTAGTGATCCTTTCTACTTCCCCAGTTTCAAAAGACTCAGCTCAGGGAACTGGTTACCTAATGTTACATTAACATCAATCCCTGGAAGTCAAACAGGCATTAGAGGCCATTTTTCTAAGAAAGGGGAGAACTCTTGGCAGCTAATTTAAAACTAGGAATTAGATATCTTGCCCCAGCAACATTCTCCCACTGGATAATTTTCTTTCTTTGCTATTTCCCCTTGCAGAGTCTCTCTATGCTCTATGGCTTTGCAGTTTAGCACCACTGTTGGTCATCTCCCAGTTTTTTTAGGGAGGTTAACCAGTCTAGCAATGAGCGAGTCTCCTCATCAATGCTGTTGGCCTTGGGCCTATTGTGCTGTTATTTTTACCTTCTATTAGAATAGTGGAAATTCAACTGCATAGTAGAAATGCAATGGCATTCACCTCTCTATATAGGAAATTTTGGTGAAAATGGGGAAGAAAATAGAA